ACCAATAGCAATTAAGCGGCGTTTATCGATAGTCTCATTAATAATCCTATCTCATGCACGACGGAGTCCTTACCCTTTTGCGCTAATCAACACGGATACAAGTATTACCCGGCCGCGTTAATGACTACACTGATCCGCGTCTAAAGAGCAGTAATTACACCACTGTTGTTATTAACTATCGAGGCGCCGTATTTAATAGGAGTTGTGTAACGCCCGATACACGCGAGCGGCTTTAGATTGAACATTTTCATCGATCGAGAAAGTACAATGGGAAGAGGGTGGGCTTACTGGAGCATCCGCGGCGCACAATTCCATCGGGAATGCAATAATGAACAGGTTCGGCGCTCGTTAAAGAAATAATTATGTAATTTGAGGAATTCGATATTTCGCGTGCATTTCATTGCGTTTACGCGTTATAAAACATTCATATTGACATAATTCACTCTTCTCCCTTTTCTCCCCCCCCCCTCCATAGGTAATTTATCATTATTATCGGATGCAAATATAATTTATTATTGTGAGAAGCCGTTTCTTTTCTTGGAGATATTTAATATTGACGCGAAACTTGCCTCGAACTGTCTCTCTTCTCGCGCTTTAATGCACTTTTCTAAATCTCCGATGACACCGAACGTTGAGAGACTGTTTCTCAATTAGACGCGCGCGGGGGGAAAATTTATAGCCGGTACGTCGTAATATTTGCAGCGATTCGAAGCGAGCGATCTGTTTCGAAAATCGAGCACGTTATCGGCGGATGCGCGTTTCCGCATTTTACTCCGGTTGACTTTCACGGCTGGCCGATAACGGCTCGCGATCCGTTCGGCGGCGGCGTCGAACATCCCGAACACCTGTGGTGTTTCGTCCACGCGCGGCGCCGGCCAAGATAGTTTCCAACGGACGACACAGAGTAATTAATGCAGAAATTAACCCTTGAGGTTAATGATAAGCGTTAACGACTAATCACCGGCTGCGACCAAGCGACCTCGTCCGATACTATTCCGAGGGATCCGCTGCCGGCCCACACTCATTAGCGTCCGCTCGTCCTTAACAGCGCGACGATGAAGTTGTCCCCTATTTGTTAGCGGGACTTGCCCAGGCTCCCCCAGTCCTCCTGTTCCGAGCACGAAAGAAAGAGCGTAATTAATCGAACGCGATGGATTTCATTATCTCGAGAAAAATGCCGCTTTCGCACGTCGTGACGATTAATAGCTTTCGAGAGAGATTAATTGATTGCTGTCTACTTCTTTCCTTTACATTATGCTGTCAATACACACGTCTGGTATCCCCGGTTCGGCCGCGTTGTAAGAAACAACAATAGAATCTCAATTAAATTAGAAAGAGAACAGTTTGTCAGTTATATTGAAAAAAAACATTTTCGCTACCGTAGCTAATTGTGGTTTGCTGAAAATATTTTGTTGCCACAGAATTTTCTCTTCAAATTTATCCTGAAAATTATGTAATTGTGGGATTTTGAAGAACTTTATGAGTTTTTTTTTAATTTTACCGTACATTTCTTAGTAAAATGTGTGGTAAAATTTTGCAATTAAATTACAGAGAGAACACTTTGTCAGTTGCGCTGAAAAAAATTGTTTCGCTACCGTAGCTAATTATGGTTTGCTGAAAATATTTTGTTGCCACAGAATTTTCTCTTAAAATTTATCATCAAAATCGTATGATCGTGGGACAATGTAGCATTTTAAAGAATTTTATGAGTTTTTTAACTTTTACTATTATTTCATCAGTAAAATGTATAAGAGTACTAGTGAAATGTATGGTGAAATTTCAAAAACTCTCATAAAATTCTCCGAAATGCCGTGTTGTCCCACAATTACGTAGTTCTTAGGATAAATTTTTAAAGAAAATTCTTTCAGTGCGTAACTATATAAATTTCTAAAGCACAGCCAACGGTTTGCTATCGCACCCCATGCAATAGGCCTAGTAACAAAATATTGAGCTGTCACAACTAAATGTTAGCCGTCCATATTTTACAACTAAAACTTAGTTACCACATTGCACTTTTCAGCTAAGGCAGCTACATGTTTTTATCCACGTGTGCATTTATCATCGCAGCGTAAAAGTCTAGCGCGGATTCGAGTGTATTCTCTCTCTCTCTCTATCTCCTCTTATTCGTGGACATCGAATCCCGGATGCAATTTAGAGATAGTTTATACCGTGCGTCCGGCGTAATTACGCGGCTGTAGTGATAAGTACACCGAGGTACGGCGATCGCGAGCCTCATCCCGGGCGCGGAGCGAAACGCGCACTCCGTATAAACCCGTGAAATCCGATATTTCTTGATGGAAAACCGGCACTTCCCAACGCGTCACGGACGACATAATGTTATTGCGGCGTATCGGATATCCGGCCGTAACTAATATAAGTCCCCTCCGTTCGGACGACTTTACGATCTGGGGAAACTGTCATGCAATAAAGATGTACACAGTTCGGTAAATAGCATTTGAAATTCAAGCTGGTCGCGAGGTAAGGGCGCGTCGCGCGGAAAATCGTACGGCGAGGCTGCGCCAGGCTGGAAAAGCCCATGCACGCGGCGGGGTCGGGTTTAAACGCGGTGCACCTCGGGCTGAACGAAGATCGCTCGATGTTTTCGGTGATCCCGTTTGATCGCGGTAACTCACAACTTGCGCGAGAGCCGCACTCAAAGTTGAAATTAAAGTTCCCCACCGCGTTGACGTTAATAGACCCGCGTAATTGTTATTCTTTACGTTCCGTCGGAATATTCCGTCGAGCAAGCGTCAGTCAACATCCTTACCGCTAACTATTCCAATTTATGCGTTATAACGGCGACGAGGTAGAAGCCACAAGGTAGAGTCACTCAACGTCGCCGGGGGGCGAGTTTTCTCGCGTGCGCCAGGAAATATGCGCGCCACGGCGGCGGCGTTCCCCGTCGTCGTAATTCGCGGACAGCCAGCCAGCCAGCCAGCCGGTTGTGAAAGATGTTCCGCCGTTTCGGGGCTCGTTACAGAAAATTTCCTTAATTTCGCGGGCGAAATTGCTACGGCCTCTCTGCCGCACGGCGAGGGTGAGTAACCGGGGGATACACGCCTATACGTCGTCGCGTATCCGAGAATTAAGCTACCCTAACTCTTGAGTTTGGGACGAGAGGGAGAGCGAAGGAGGGGCAGGGGGTGGAGATGAACGAGGAGTGATGGCGAACGGCGGGAGGGCGAGGGGCGGAGGAAACGAACGAGTGAGACGGCCGGGTCTGGGTAGTGGATAGACGCTGTATAGCCCTAGGGCGACTTGAAGTATGCACTTGACGCATGCAACCAGAAGTCTGGCGTTGCACCCCGCCCGGGTCCCCGTCCGAGTATCAGGCGGGCCCTCCCCTCCCCCTCCCGGCCACTCTTCGCTCTGCCTCTCCCTCTAAATCTCCGGCAACCTGTTCCGGAGAATCCACCCTATCCTTCGCTCCACTTTCGTTTCTGCTGTCTGACTCGACACGCGCGGCTTCCACGGACTCCCCCCCCCCCGCCTCCGCCACCCGTTCCTTCGGCCGGTACTGTGTACCGTACGACAATTCACGTCAGGCGCACCGCCCGCCGGAATTTATTACAACTTTTAAAGTCGCCGCGCGACATCCGCGGTGCCCAGCGCCTCCTCGGTATACGTTATCTGTCCGCCGACGTTCGTTTCGTCTCGGTATGATGACTGAAATTCAAAAAGCGTGGTTGAACGCTGTTATCCTTAAGGGGATGCTGGAGTGACGGCTAAACTCCGACGGGATAGTTTGAAAATTTCAAAGACACATACAAATTAGACTTCGAACCTCGATGTTTTTTACATGAAAATTCTACTGTGCAGTCCACACACCGCTCTGGTATTATTTTGTACATAAAAGCCAGCAATAAGATTTACAAACGCAAAAACTGTACGCGACTCTGTCGGTAAATCAAACCACTCCAGCGGGTTTGAAAGCGTTCGTTGTTAGTAGAGGATATCACGAAATGACTTCACCGTCAAATATACACTTGTTAATTTGGTGGGACAACGATCCAACGCTCTACATAAGTTTGACGTGAAGAATTTACTTACAAATTGTCAGTCGGTGAGCGCATAATTAATGTTGTGCCGATTCGCTGCGGAATGTGCCACTTCTACGTCAAGTTACGCCGAGTCCGTCCGGATATTTTGGGTATGCTAATCCAAGGCAGCGGGACGATAAATCGTGGAAATCTTCGACGTATCGTATAAGGCACTTCGCACGAGTTCCCTCGGAAGTTCTCCCACGAGGAGTGGAGTTACCCTGCTCGAACGTATTACAAATAGCTCGGAGCGACTTTCGGAAAGCCCTCCGGCACCGAATCTCGATTCCACTTACAGGCTAAATCCGCGACGACGACTGGCCGTCGTGGCCTGAAACAAACGGCGGGGCGTTAAGTTGGGGCCCGCGTATGGCGCGGCAGCCGCGGTCCACGACCTCGTAAAATGTCTGGAAACTTACGTGGGTGGAAACGTCAAAGTTAGTGAATGGGCCATTCAATGCACTGTCGCGTCCGGTCGAACCGGTCCGCGATCTCTCTCTCGTTGTATTTATTTGGCGCACACCAAGGGAGGGAGGCGGATAGAGAAACGACGAGGAGGCGAAGCGAGACGACGGGTCAGCCCGCTCGAGCGCGTTTCCCGCCAAGTGTCGACTTACTTCTTCATCTCGATCGATCCGTCGGAAAGGGACGACGGGCCGAGCGGCGGGAAGTTCGTCCTCGACGCCGACGCTCGGAGTCAAAGAGATACACCCGGATTACAAAGAGCGACAAGTCCATTCCCAAGCTTCGCTTTGTCTCGCATCGAGTTTCTCTCATGCTTACGGCGTTCTTGTCAACTAATTCACTTAGTTAATCACTCGATTTATTATTACGAAAGTGTTAAAAAACGATGCAGCGTGCGCAACATGAGGGGAAAATCAGGAGGGAGAAATTTAAAAGTACTAATTATACCAAAAGTTCCTACTTCTCGATACTAATTGCATTTCTTTCATGTTTCAGGTAAGCGGTTGACTGTGCGGTACGAAGTTTGGCGTATTCCGACCACCGAGTAATTGTAAGTAAATCTGTAAATAACGAATTTAAAAAAATAATACATTAAACGATGAAAGGAGTGTATTCGCGTTCTCTGATCTCGCCGTTTCGCAGGAAATACTATACAGAGCTTGAAATTCGAATCTCGTCGACTACGGATGATGAAGCTTCGCTGTCTCTGAGTAATTCGCGCATAACTTAATGCTTCAATCAACAATTCAAATTGCGGCGTAGAAAATGCAGAATGACGAATACCGCGGTCTCCAGTTGAACGTACCTTGCTGTTGCGCGAAAACACCTTGCGCCCCAGTTATTGTTTATGCACAAAATTCGTGCGTCCCGCAATCAATTATGGATGAAGCCGGTAAAAAGATACAATGATAACGTAATTTGCATGGCCGCGTCATTTTCGACAGCGCTATTTTTATTATGCCAATGTGTGCAGATCAGTGTTGCATAATTTATCGAAAGAACTCGCGACATTTGATATTTGAATATCGCAAATCCGCTGAAGCTGCAAATGAATATTTATGAGAACATCGACATTGCGCTGAGTTTATTTAAGTACATATAACAGGACGTTCCCATCTATATTAACAACAATTAATATAATGAATCAGGAAATGCGATAAATAGTAATAATCGAAAATTGCGTTACGGCCTTGGAAAGAGTACAAAAAGCCGGATTAAAGAACGGCTGTGCAAAATTAATCGAGCAATCATTTTCGCGATACCGACACATTCGAATATAGTTTTTGCGCTGGTAAATTTTTTTATTAGCTTTTGTGCACAAAATAATGCCAGGATAAGTTGCGGACCGCATAGCAGAATATATTCATACTAAAACACTCGGGTCAGAAGTCTAATGAAAAAGATATTCTAAGTCTAATGAAAAAGACACGTTTGGACTTATTGACTGGAACCAAAGAAATATATCTCTTAAGAAAAAGAAAAAACCTTTAACTGATTTGTCTAATTATTGCCACTGGTCTCTGTCCGTTCTTAGATTGTGTCATAACGATGAGTTGGTTGACGATAATTATATGTGTCTAGTATGGAAATCGTTTTCTCTTTGTTTGTGATGTTGACATTTATATATATAATACATATAATTTTTAATTTTTAACGTATTCCAACGACATTTAATAATAATTAAAATGACCAGTCACGTACCTTTTAAATTTAATGTATCTTAATTAATGAATTAGGGTGTTGAAAAAGACTTAAGTAAAGTCGAAACGTTCACCTATGTAAATTATCAAGAATATAATTGATTTGTCTAACATCCTTTATAGTAGCTCGTTATTTTTGGCCTTTATAATTTGATCATTTGTTTATACATTCAACGAGCGTCCACTTTATATTATGAAAAAGATATTGGTATTTGAAATTTTCAATTTTTTAATCGTGAGCAATTTGAAATTGGCTTTATAAAATTTCAAAAGTCTTTCACACGATTATAGTACACACAACAACGAAGCGAGGGGTTCACGACTTTATATAAAGAACAAAGAGAAACTAAAAATATCACTTTATAAGTAATTGTGGTTAGGTGGTTAGGTTAGGTTAGGTGACAGCTTCGCATGCTAATATTTTTAATTTTTCTTTGTTCTTTATATAAAGTCGTGAACCCTCCACTTTGTTTTTATGTGTACTATAATCGTGTGGGAGAATTTTGTAATTTTATACAGCCAATTTCAAATTGCACCTTCGAATTGGCTTTACAGAGTTAAAAATCCTTTCATGTACTTAAAGTGTGTACAAAAATACATTACAAGCTGGTCATTTCGAGACTAAGAAGAAACAAAAATTGTAAATTATTTCTCGGTGTTGCACGTAAAACTGTTAGTTCAAAGAAACGTTCGCCTGTCTACAAATTATATAACCTATTTGTACAAATCGAAAGCAGTCTGCAATTCACATTAGATCAGAGAATAGCGTCGAATCAGTAAAACTAAGATTAAAAGTCTAAGAAACAAGACAACTGAAGACCTTTATTTTATGTAAAAACGCATACTTATCTTTATACCCCAAGTGTAGCTACAGAATGACGAACTGTAAGTGCCAGATTTCTCGACTGATGGCGCTGCAATGTGTTAGACAAGGATGGATATCTCATGAATATCTCTGTACTCTCTTTTGTCGTGCATGTATACATGTTTCCAACACATCTTTACGTCCTGGGCTGAATGACAATATGGGACGTTAAATTATCGACGATTTCGAACGTTTAGTCATCACTCCAGGATCCCAGTACCGATGTGCTGGGCTTCGTCGGAAAATTCTCGAGCGTGGTTATTTCTAAGGCAATTTCGCGTTTGGCTCGGCATAGAAGATACAATTCAGTAGCAACTGTTACACGCCCGGAATGGACGGCTGTATCGGCGGATCCTGTCGGCAATACCGCGGTGTATGCTGACATAACCTATATACGGGAGCCGATAAAGTGTGATGCGTGCCGTGCGTTTATTATGCGCGGCGTAACGCCGCGCGCGGAATTAGAGCGAACGTCCGTCGTTGCCGTCGCCGTCGTTGTTGTCGTCGTCGTCGTCGTTGTTATTTACCGATAGCTTCGCTAGACGGCGAGCTAACCATATTGTATGGAAATCCACGGCTGGGATATAGATTGCTGAAAGCACTTACCGCGTGGCCGGTTGTGCGCCCGTTGCCTCGAATCGGAAGCAACAGCCCGTAGTTTCGTTTTTTTTACCTGCACGTTCGACCTTTAAATTAAATTGGTGGCCTCGGAAACGGGAGGTCTTCATGCGCATTTCGGTTTCATTCATTTATCTCGAAGTTTACGACCGAGCGCGGACTTTGACAATATGCGGTAAGATTTGTACGCTTTTTTTTTTAAAGAGGCTATCGATATCCGCTTTATTGCGAAAAAACTGAGTCCCTTCTCACGTCTGCGCTCTCTCTCCGGTATCACCGGCCCGTTCGATTTTACCATTTGTTTTTCTTCGAGATTACGTTTTACTGATTAACGCACGCAAGCGGTATGAGACACACAACTTCCACTATGTTAGGGGAGAAGCTTGTTTTACTCGATCGCTGTACTTGTAATACGATAGGCGATCGAGCAACAACTCGAGTGTAAGCGAGGTGCTTATCCTGTAACTAAATTTGCAGAATTTCTCAAAGTTCTAAATACATATTAGTCGACCTAATTCCACTTGCGACGTATATTCGCGCCGTGGGAACAATTATCGAAATCCTCGCGGATGATTTGTAACAAATTTTGCCCGAGCGGCGACGCCACAAAAAAATCGTCGCGTTACGGGTTTTCCGTGACGGTTTTTTCCCCCCCGCGATATGTTCGTTCCGAAAATGTTGGAAGCATATCCAGAATTGAAACAATACGCGACAAAAGCACAGACTTTGCTTTATGCTTGCGAAATCAATTTGATTGAAACGCAGCGTTTCAGCAGCGTTTCATAGCAGTTATACAACGACCGTATTTGCATTTATCGTCTGGCCGCGCCAAACTCGGTGAAAAATTTAATCTGTACCTTTGTTTATAAATTTGTTTTCGATTCAGGAGTATTTTGCTTCTCGATGACTGATTTTATCGTTATATATTTCATCGCGAAACATTCACACTCTTCGCGCTGACGGTTTATCCCTAGAACCTCGTTGCGATCGACAAATATTCGTCATCTTTTGATATTAATATTCGAGGGGGAAGCCGCTGACCAATCTTGTACACCAATGCCCACTAATGCCCAGTGAGCATTACTCTATCTTATTATTTTATTTTATCTTATTTATCTTGTTTCGTCTTATTTTATCTCATTTTATCTTTATGATGCCCCAGCAAGGCCTAATGTCCAAAATAATGCCCAAAAAATGCTTAGTAATGCTGCAAATCTGTACATCAATTCGTTGCAATGCCCTCAGCGGTTTCTCCCTCGTTAATATCATCACTTAATCCCGAAAAGTGCGTATCGTGCTCGTAACATCATTTTGGTAGCGAACCAGATTTCATCAATAATCCTCGTTATAATCTTTCATATTAATAGCACTTCTGAAGGAAGACGCGGATATATCGTAGATTATTATGAAAATATTTATAAATCACTCTCGTATGATTACCAGATAATCTAGCGGCGTCCTGTTTCGTATCATAAATAATACTGGTTGTCAAACTCATTAATTTTCAGGCAAGTATAACGATACATAGTTCATGCGGTTCTATACATTGGCGCAGATATAAGTATCGATTGATTAGATATCTTCCGAAGTACTTGTAGCAGAGTGGATAGAAACGCCGCTACGATGTCCGATAAGCGATGTTTCGTAAAAAAAAAAGAGTCGAGTCTTCTTCAATATCCCTCGCGCAATTGCGGCGCCTATCGATGCAATTTATGGTACGAACGAGCCACGCTTCGAGATCGATTTTGCACGCATCGTGCATTGCGGATAATCAATTACTTCCGCATAATAACAACCGTCCCTCCGCGCCTCGTTTACGTATAGAAGATTTCACATCGGGCACGTTTCAGCCTCGAGGAAGGGATCGGGAAAGAGTTAAAGACGAGAGTTTTTACGACGCGTAAGAATTGCGTAAGAATAATGTTCGGTTTAAACACTCTCTCTTTCCCTCCCCTTATGCTATTATGCCCAGGGAAATAATGGAGACGCATTCGATGTTAATCCCTCGACGCGTTTTCGACGCGGCCATCTTATATACCTGACATAGACTTTTATTGTGCCGCGAAAGTGTTAAAATTAATTAGAACCGCGCTGATGCTGCCTCCGCGACGACGGTTAATGGCTGTGCCAGCAACGCCGGGATTGTCGAGTTGCCTCTTAGTTCACCGGAAGCTCGACAGCCGCCTTTTACACTAATGAGTGGTACCTTCATGGGGCGACCAAATATACCAAAGCGGTAACGATTTGCGGGCATACGAGTCGTTTCTACGGGAATCCGGATTTTCGACGATTTATGCACGTCGTCTGGGAGATATTCCATCGTTTTGCGCTGGGCTGCTATCGGAAATGCGAAATAAATGTGGAAAATGTTGGAAATATTTTTCGCGATTTTAACGCGTAATTTACAGCTGCGAAGTTTTTTTCCGTCAAACTACAAAAACGTCGAGACTGCGGTCGAGAAATTGTGCGCGCTATTTAGGAAAAATATAACGAGGTAACACACATACGCGCAACTTTCTTCTCGCTCATTATTCATAAGGGAATCTTCGTTTTTTTACGTACGATATAAGCAGATACTCCCTTATGGGTTAAGTAAAAGGAAAGTTTTTCATATACATTTTCCGCGTTGAATTTTTACGATCTATTATTTTATGACTTCATATGCGACAGCATACAGATACGTATCTCTTCTGTGTTGAGGGCACTTTCCAATAATCGGTCTTCAACCTTTGCCAACATA